ATCTAAATGTAATGGTACCCACTGCATGGATATTAAGCACTGTCAATTTAACAAGCCTTATTTTACTAGTAGTTGGAATTATTTCCTTAAGATATATTTTCCAATACCAAAGTATTCAATGGCATAAGTACAATGTGTCGGAGACTTTAAATCCCCAAAAAGTACACATACATTGAGATCTGTTAAACCTATAAGCTATAAAGGCTCCAAACATATGTCAAACTCTGTTTAATACAAGTAAGAAGATGTGGTATGAGTGCCAATGAGACAAATCTCCATCCAAGTCACAATGTATAAAAAGTTAACAATCATGGGTCAAAGTACGGCCTTCAACACGGAGCCTTGGCTCACACCGAACAGCAAGCTATAAAGGGTCCCACAATGACTAGTGCAAAACAATTCAAACAGGAAAACCAACGGTCTAGTCTATATAAAAAACGAGAAACGAGAAACACCTATGAACCACACCAACTAACGAAAACCACTGAACAACAGGCTCCTGACTTAGGACAGGTGAATAAAATGCAGTGGGTTTAAACGTTTTAACAGGCGCCAACCTTCACCCTAACCTGAGACAGTAGTGTAACATTTCAACATAAAAAGTCATACTATGAAATATCAAATGAAATGGCTTAACTCGATCAAAAAGGCATTTAAACAAAAACAAGTAAACATACACTGAACGTATAAGTTTGATCTATGACACAATATAAATACAATATTAAAACGTAGGTGCCTATATAACATAGACGTTACAGGTAGTAATAAAAAAGATGTAGGAAGAGTGTCAATAAGACAACTCTTACCTGGGACAAAATGGCATTAAATAAAACTACGTACATAGGTAAATTTAGATATAATAATTTTGTTGTTAGGAGTACGGAAGTAAACATTTAATGCCCAATTAATAAATTTGTTGTTCAGAGTACGAGTACAGAAGTGAAAATTTATCGTCATACTAAATAATCAAAGGTGGTACATATTAAAAAAATTGAGACGCGATATAACACAAAATAAGTAAACACCGAATTACAGAAATGCAGTACAAATTGTGCCAACAGGTCAAATTAACACGAAAGTACGATTTGAGATTACTCGCAGTTACTGAAAGCTAGTTAAAAGCCAAAAACAATTAACAATAAAAAAATCATGCATCAAAGACTAACATCAATTAAAACGAATCCCAAGGATTTAGTGTTTTAACGCCATGGGCAGTCAAAGAAGACATGATTTGTGCAATGCCAAAATAAAAGTATCGACAGGCAGTAGAATCGTTAAGATTTAACCTTATAATAAATATGTATCATGTTATTATAAATAAAGCAATCTCTAGATAAAAAATTAACATGGATGTGTATTTATACATCCCAAAAACCATGCATTTTAGTACAATATTACCGTAAAATTTAGGATGTGAAATACCGTTTTTGATAAGTTTTCTACAGGTGCGGCCAAATTTACTCATCAAATCTTTGTATCTATAGAAAAATTTAGTAAATGTTTTAAGTAATTTATGGTACCGAAATCCCTGACTTAATATTTTACCAGTGATGCATTGATTACGTTCGTTAAAATCTATGACATCACTATACACACGGCATAACGAACGAGTTGGGTTATATAAACACCGTATGATGGAGCCAAAGGAACATCGCCGTCTTAAAAAGGAAAATTAACAATAGGGAATGAAAAATCGTCTCTTTTGTCATAAATTTTAGTATTGAGTTTCTCTTTAGAAATTGAAATGTCTAAATCTAGAAAAGGACAACTACTGCTGTTTATGTTAGATTTATGTAAAGTAAGTTCCTTTGGGTAAATTTCGGTAATAAGTTCACTTTGGCGATTTGCTTTGCGAAAAAATTATACAGCCGATTCATTAAAACGTATTTGATAAATCATAATCAGAACCAAATCACCGATTACTTCTTATTAACATTAACAACACCGTCCTATTTTCCTCGAAAGTGACCTACCGAATTAGACTTAATTATCGTCAGGTTTGTACTAGTATGAACAACACGACGGGTGCAACATGTGGGCAGGATCTGAATAAAATCAGACGGAACTATGGCAGCCCCTGCTACATGTCTGACTGTCACTGTTGTTTGTCTTTTGGTCGTATTGTCAGTTCGTTTTCGACTTACCAGTTTGACTCATGATCCTTTTGGTATCTTCAGTCTCTCTTTAACTGGACAGATACCATGATAACCGATGATCATTGTCCATGAAAGACAATGAACGAAACAGGTCTTTTTGGATATGTCATGTGTTATCCGTGAAAATATTAATAAAATAAAAATTGATAAAATTCAGTCATGAGGCTTTTCGTAATAAAAAAAACTGGTTGATTACCCTATTTAAATGCATAAGTGTACTTTCATTTTGAACTGAAGCTTAAACACAGGCACTTGTCTCCGAAAAAAATTTACCTATATTCTTTAATATAATATATATTGTTATATTAGAGTATATAGGGTTTTTTCAGAGACAAGTGCCTGTGATTCCATCGCTTCTTATGTATACATGTTATATGTCACATACTAGTATATCTAGATATAAGAAGATGTGGTATGAGTGCCAATGAGATAACTCTCCATCCAAGTCAAAATTTATAAAAGTAAACCATTATAGGTCACAGTACGGTCTTCAACACGGAGCCTTGGCTCACACCGAACAGTAAGCTATAAAGGGCCCCAAAAAATTAGTAGTGTAAAACCATTCAAACGGGAAAACCAACGGTCTAATCTATATAAAAAACGAGAAACGAGAAACACTTATGAACCACATCAACAAACGACAACTACTGAACATCAGATTCCTGACTTAGGACAGGTGCAAACAAATGCAGCGGGTTTAAACGTTTTAATGGTACCAAACCTTCACCCTTTTTCTGAAACAATAGTGTAACATCACAACATAGAAAGACACACTATAAAATATCAACTGAAATAGCTTAACTCAATCAAAGGACATATTAACACCATTGAACATACACTGAACAAATAAATTTGACCTATGACACAATGTAAATACAAAATAAATAAACTAAGGGAAGAATAAAAAAGTAACATGTTATATCGGTAAGAAATGTTAAACAATTAAAGAAAAACAACAAGCTCGAACAAAAATATCAGCCATTTGCAAAAACTTTAAACACAGGTAAATGAAAATAATTTTGTTGTTAGGTATACGTGTACAGTACCAATCTTCTTCTTTCCTCTATATCTTCCTCCAATAGTTGGAGTACACCAACCTTACTGAATTCAGGTTGGTTAATCCTTATAAAAATTATTAAGTGAATACCTAACTATTTAAAAATAACATTATGTACAGTTAAATCCCTGCAAAGATACTAATAATAACTTCTATGTACATTAAAAATGGGTCACAGTTTAAAAGTTATTAATAAAATTTTTAAAAATAAAAAAGTTTTGAATATTATTTACAGGGCATGCATTATAGTAAAAAATCTTTACATTTACTAAACAATGTTACTTAAAGGTAAAAAATAACGAGTTTTCAGCTTCCTGCCTGCTACATGCTGGAGTTACTACATCTGTCTATGAGCACTACTAGGCGATATAAAATCAACAAAATCATGCATATAAGCTTATATGTCCTAAGCGATCTAATTATGCATAGCCATTATCTATCTGTTATATATATATATATGTGAAGCTACTGGGTATTAAAGCTAACGATAAACATGTACATTTATTCCAACTATAGGTATAGCGCGGCACAACCACACTGACCAGTTATTCTAAAATTTCATGGATTTTCTCAGCATTTAATTTTACGTAAAGGATTGATAGGTTTAGCGCGGAACACCCACACTGACCTAGTTGCTCTGTCCAAAAACCTTTATGATGACTTTAGATTAGAGAAAGGAAATATTTTTACAAAATAAATAATTTTGATGTTCATAGTACGAAGTGAAAATTTATAGTTATACCAAACACTTATCAAAGCTGTTATATAGACCAGATATAACCCTGAATAACATTAAATAACAAAAAAGCAATACAATTAGTATCAACAGGTCAAATAAACAAGAAAGTACGATTTGAGAGTACTCGCAGTTACTGACAGCTAGTTAAAAGCCAAAACAATTAATAATAAAAAATCATGCATCCGAGACTAAAATCAACTAAAACACATCCCAGGGATTTAGTATTTTAACGTCATGGACAGTTGTGACGGGATTGCTTCCCTTCATTAGTAGATACTTAGTCAGCCGTAAGCGGTTGAGCTAAGGAAGTACTTCTTTAGCTCAGTCGGTATACGCGCTGCCTTGTAACACAGAGGTCCCGGGTTCGAGTCCCGGTGGAGACATACGATTTTGCAAGTAGAATCATGTTCTCCGGTTACACAGTCAAAGAAGACATGACTGGGCACTGACTAGTGCAATGCCAAAAATAAATGTATCGACAGACAGTAGGATAGTTAGGAGTTTAACCTCTTTATAGATCTAAACGAACGTGGGTGTGTCTTTATACATCCCGCTTGAAAAAAATACAAATTTAGTTATGTTTTAATTTGCTGATGACAAAATCGATATTAGTGCCAATGTAAACTATATTCAAAGATCTAATTACAACATTGGTAAGATAACCTTTACTAATAAGTTTGTTTAAAGGTTCGATGAGTTTACACGGATCACATAGTGATTTCCGCGCAATAAGTACAATATTACCGTAAAATTTAGGATGTGAAATACCGTTTTTAATCAGTTTTCTACAAGTACAGCCAAATAGTCTACACAGTGAATAGACTCCCAAAATATTTAACATAAAATTTGCCATAAATCTACAATATTTTTGTCGCGCTTGTCCAAAGAGGATCGTCGCATGCTGCAACACTGTATTTCCTAGGTCCAAGTGCAAAAAAGTAAATGATTGTCATCGATATATTTCTATTCCTCCAGTTAATTTTTTTTATAATATTTGTAGACCTAAAAGTTTAGGAGTTGTCTCCCATAGCGGAGTTTTCTGGCGGCTAAGTCTCGTTTTGGCCTTGTCATCAATGTAAACAAATGTTGCAGAAAAGTGAATGGACCGGTGTTACACATTCTTTTGTTGTTGTCATTTGCGATGTAAAGGGAATGCGCATTCCAATCATGTCTGACAGTCATTTAATTGAGAAATTTAAGGCGATATCTTACAATTTGAAAGGAAATTATAATTTCAAACAGGCCCACACATGTGAAAAAGTCAAAACATATCCCAATTGACTTCGGAAATTAGATCCGTTCATCAGAATGACATAAACATTTGGTGTGCTTTTTTCATTATTATTTTTCAATATTTCCGTTTGGATGTTTCCTGAATTTTAGCAACATGTTTTATTATTTAACCGTTATTTACATCTGTGTTTATATGGTGCAGCGGAATTTAATTGTTAACTGTCAATCAACAACAGGTGAGTTAAATATCCACGTGGATAATCAATTAATTACAGGTAGTCTGATGTATTAAAAAAGTTTATTATCTTTAAATTCTTAATCTAATTACTACATCATGAACATAATATTTAGCTGACCAGGACTGAACCATTTTTTTTTTTAATATTCAGATTCGATTCTCCATAACATTTTTAAAATAAAATTTCTATTTACAGAATGGAAGTTCTGTTTCTATGTATTTAGAATGAAGATTGAGATCTTATTCAGTTTGTTAATGTTTTGAAATGACTGTTTTTTCCCTTCTCATAATAGAGAAAGAATTATCTATATCTTTCCTCAGCAGTAAAACAAATCTTACATACATGGAATAGTTGAACTTTATGTTGTATTGTATAATTACAATGTTACAGACTTTACTTTTGAAAATAGAAAGTGTATGTTTTTTTTTTAAATTCAACTTTTAAGGTATCATCCAATATTTTCAATACAAGAACAAATGTATGTTAGCATGTTTGATCAAACATGGCAACATATGTTGTCTTAAAAACATTCACAGGTAATATGCAAACCTCATTGATTTATCACACATTTGTCATGAATTTCTTAAGTTCAGGTATCCTTTCTGTCGAAGCTCAAAGCTATCTATTAATTATTGATAAAAAGAACTTAATTAGACATGCCAATAAAGATATGGTAGACTGTATTGTTTTTAGGACATGACACCTTCGTTATTCTTTTAATTATTAATCAAGTCTGTAATTTTGACATTTTTAACAGTATACTGTGGATTCCTTAGTACATGTATTTGTTTGGTACCAATTTTTTGTGGTTACCAATTTTTGTGTATTTTGTGGTTATACAATGTACATGTAGGTAAACTACTAATTTAAATTTTCAGCGAGGTACAAATTTTCTTTCGGCTTGTATGCTAATGTTTGCAAAACCACGAAAATACAAGTTTTCCTCAATCAATAAAAATTGGTACCTCCAAAAATAAATGAATCCACAGTAGTGTGATTTTTTTCTCTTTAATTTTTTCCAATTGTACCATAAGCAATGATCAGGGCTCATTACAGTATTTTAGTTTATTTAACATGGCAACAAGTCCCATTGGCACGACTTCCTTTAGAACCCCCCTTAAGTATGCCTATGCTTATTCCCTCATTAAGAGATGTTCAAAAAGAAGTCTTTCTGTCCAATTTTAGATACTTTGAAAGCAGCTTGAAATTTGAAAGCTTTTGGTCTCATAAGGTTTCCTTTAATTTTGTTGAATCATCTTAATACAATGTATCAATGTATAGAAGGTTACCACAAAACAAGATGCTATAAAGTTTGTTGCTGGACCAGTCAAATAAATTCCTCAGCAAGTCTAGTAATATAGTAACATATCCATACTTATATATGATACTGTAAGTTAAGAAATTATTGCGAGGTTTTTATTATGTGAATAATGCGACTGGATGAGCTTCGCAATAATAAGAACTCGCATTCTGATGTCTGATCCATATATATTAAGATACATTTTCCTGAAATCGCAATTATTAATCTTGCATTTTTGTCCATTCTTCAAAAATATGCAATAAATTTCTATATTAAATTTACAGTAGTTGGGACTGAAGTGGCAGATTTATAAGCCTTGTGTCAAAATTTGGATTGGCCTATTGACATCTTAATTACAGCATACAAAATTGAATCAGAACATAAGATATACTGATATATTACATATGGTGTAGCATTCTACTGTTTTCATTGGATATTACGATCACGTGTTTCAAAGGTTATTTTAAGTATCTGAAGCCTTGTTTCTATTTTTATACGCCCATCAAATTTTTGACGGGACGTATTATGGTATACAAATGTCCGGCGTCCGTCCGTCTGTCTGTCCGGCGTAAACATGTCGCACCGTAACTTGAGAATGACTTATCCAAATTTCATGAAACTTAACATAGTTGTTTCTTATGATGGTCAAACAATCTGTATACTTTTTGGTGAAAATAAGATTAAAAATGTTTGAGTTACGGGACTTAGTAACTAAAACAGGTGTGTTTTTTTTCACATGTCGCGCCGTATCTCAAAAACAATTTATGATTATTGCTTAAAACTTTACACACTTCTTAGTTATATTAATCTTAAGATCTGTATACTTTTTGGTGATGATTCAAAATTTTATTTTAGAGATATTGAGTATTTTTTTTAAAAAGGGGGAGGGGTTTTTCACATGTCGCGCCATATCTCAAAAACAGTTTATGATTATTGCTTAAAACTTTACACACTTCTTAGTTATATTAACCTTAAGATCTGTATACTTTTTGGTGATGATTCAAAAGTTTATTTTTGAGTTATTGAGTATTTTGTAAAAAAAGGGGGAGGGGTTTTTCATATGTCGCTCCGTATCTCAAAAGCGATTTATGATTATTGCTTAAAATTTTACACACTTCTTAGTTATATTAATCTAAAGATCTGTATACTTTTTGGTTTTGATTCAAAATTTTATTTTTGAGATATTGATTTTTTTTTTTTTTAAGGGGGGTTTTCACATGTCGCGCCGTATCTCAACAAGCTATGAAGTTGTTCAAAGAATATTCATATTTTCAATAACATGTAAAAATTCTTGCAAAATACAATTTAAAAATACACAAAAAGAACATTGAACGCCATTTTCCTAATACATTATTAACATATGTAATATATAAATTAAGGACTTTCACTCAGTCAATACGTTATATATGGACCTGTTAGATTATATTGACACTCGGACTTCGTCCTCAGTCATATATCGTCCTCAGTCAATATATTCTGAACAGGTCCATGTATAACGTATTGACCTCGTCAGAAGTCCATAATTGATAAATACAGTAGTTAACAGAGGTTGCAATTAATTATATATATACATGTATGTATATAGAAAATGTTCGTTTGCTGGTTATTGGATGGCATACACGTACATGGTGGCAATTATGCCTTATAGGTTTCAATAAGAAATTACCATTTTAATCTTTTTCTCTGAAACTATATGGGCTATCTGACACTAGTTTAGCAGATGTAAAAAAAAAAAGGGGTATCGATATTCATATAACGTTACGCAGGATCATGAATGCTTAATTTTATATAATTTCTATTACCATTATGGTCACATGTAGCACAACAAATTTACTGTTGTACATGTATATACAAATGTATAGACAAAAACTAACAAGCCATATACTAGGAACTGAACAATTTTGATTTCTTTAATTTTGGATTAATATTTGGAAGGTCTTGCATAAAAAATCTTAATAAAATATAAATGGGAAAAATCGCTGAGTATTAATGAAAATCAGGTCCACATACTTATTTTTTGTTGTTTGATAATCGATCTATTACTTGATCATTGATGTTGTTTAACCTAAACATGTTGCTTTCCTCTTGTTATTTAATATTTTTTCTACTTTGGTGAATAAATTTCGAGGACTTTTCTATATGATTATGAAAATTAACATTGTCAAGCAACATTTTTTTTAACTTGTCCACTGACATCAAAGACACAAAAAAATGTGTGTCCGGTCGGTCAAATGTACGAGTCGTGCAAGTTGGGCATAGCATTTCCACACCCCTGCATGTACTGTGTATTTATTTACATTTAATGATAAAATGTTGTACATTTTGTGCTAGAGTCAGCATCCTTATAAATTGTGTGAAAATTTATATATCAGAAATACATGTATATGAAAAAAAGGGTGTGTGGTATGATTCCCCATGAGACAGCTATATATCCACCAAAGTTCAAATGAAGTGTATTTAAGCAATTATAGGCAACCTTACAGCCTTCAACAATGAGAAAAACTCATACTGTATAGTCGGCTATAAAAAGCAGACTGTTTATCATACCACCCCCACTTGTAATCGTGTATGTTGATAATATAAATAAAGACTATAATATAAATCCAATTAACACCATTATTGAGGACGGTTACAAATAATAATGACTGCTACATCTCATTTTTAGTTTAAATGTGTTTTTAGGTTGCTGTTTCATTGACATATATATATATATATATATATAAATACAAGTCTAAATTGAAAACAACGTTCAAACCTATGATTGCATTGGATAAAAACTGCAATTTTTATACGTGTGCATGCAAAACAAATTTCTTGGTAGAGGGGTCTAAATACAGCACAAACAACATTTTCCAAAAGACCAAATGAGTGAAGAAGTATATTTTAACAAAACGTATTTGACTAGCAGGTCAAACAACTGATGTTCTTAAACCCTGCTGACTACCATGGCAATTGCCAAATAAATGGATCACAAGATGTAACAAAATGGATATTATAATAATTTATTACCAAACAAAACATTTGTACACCATATCCGGATTTCGACAATTAATGTCTCTTCAGTGATGTTAGGAATCGAAACGGTATTTGGAAGGCCATATAATTTACCTCAATTTAGGATAGACTCTTGAATTTTGAAAGAGTCGAAATAGGATGAACGGATCATATAAACCCGAAGGAAAATATAATACAAGCCCAAACGAAAAAAATATAAACAAGTCTAAATTGAAAACAACGTTCAAACCTATGATTTCATTGGATAAAAACCTCAATTTTTATACGTGTGCATGTAAAACAAATTTCTTGGTAGAGAGGTCTAAATACAGCACAAACAACTTTTTCCAAAAGACCAAAAAAGTGAAAGTATATTTTAACAAATCGCATTTGACTAACAGGTCGAACAACTGATATAGATGATATATATACATGTAGATGTGTACCCATCATTTTTTATTCGTCTTCCAAAGAACTCCATGAACTTGTACATGTATCATACCTTTGGTCTTTTGTTTTAGATCTAATTTTCAAACATTACCCAGTTTCTATTTGAAATTCCTGTCATGGGGGAAGTTTGGTACATTTAAACCATTAATATCTATGATAAAGATCCTTTAATGTGGTAATTAGCTAGAAACAAGGGATGGATTAAAAGTTTCAACATGAGCTGGCTCATTTTATAGTTTGTAAATACTATTAT